GAAGTTTTGCAGAACTCTATGGTCAGTAGATGTGGTATGTGCAGATGTTTGTGCTGGTCTACTTGGGGAGGTTCTGCTGCTCTGGGTCTCAGGCACACTTGTCCAAGAAAAGCAGTACCAGCAGAGCATGGGAGGTGGTGGTTTGGTATAAACAGTTTAGGCCACCAGTGTTGGCACTGTACTATTTATTGAAGTTAGTTTATGCTGAGCAGCGGGGGAGGGAAATGGCATCAACCAGCTTCCTTGTCACCAGAGAGGGGAGTTCACACCCGCTTCCATCCCAGAAGCCCTCACAGAAGAGCAAAGAGTCTCCCTTCATGTGTTTCAGGTGTCCCTCAGATCACTGCCTTCATAGTGTGTATGTCTGAGCCATCTGCCCACTCGGCAGTGCAGTGCACCTTGGGCTCTATCACAAGCAGACCCACTGACTATTAAAATTCCAAAATTTAGGGACCTGGCATGGTGTGGACCCCTACTTGCTCTCTGGGGGAGGGTCTTACCATGTTTGGACTGATGCAGTTTGACCCAGAGGGGCAATTGCATCAAAGCGCAGGAGCGTGGATATTGGGGTAAAGCACAGCAAAGAGACAGTGTCCAGGTTAACCACCCTCAGTAGTTGTCTCCAAACCTATGTTGAGGGGTGGGGTTTAAGAAATGGTGCCTAGGCTATATTGTACATGGAGAGGCAATGCCAACTTTCCCAGATCACTCCAAGAAGGAGGAATCCTCTCTCTAAGTGTGTCCCAGGGGATCCTCAGATCATACCTTCTGCCCCCTGGGCTATCTGCCCACCTTCTCCACAGCAGCACTGCAATGCCCCCAGGGCTCCACACTTTCCACACCACAGACCTCTAAAACTACAGTCTTTGAGCCCCACTGGTTATAAAATCTCACACAAAGCAACCTCTTTCTTTTTTCCAGTCAATGGCTTTGAAAAGTGTTTTCCTTGTGCAATCCCCTGTGTGCTCCTCTCTCCTTCTCTCCTTCTCTCTTTCTCTCACCTTTCTCTGTGACCAGGGCTCCCTCCCCTCCACAGCACCCATGATCCATTTCTCCCCCAAACCACAGTTCTGTACCTCCTACCTTCCATGATAATGGCCTCTTTTCTCCCTGTATTTGTGTGCAGTTTGTTCTGTCAATTCTCATATTGATTTCTTGGGTATTCATAATGATTTGATATTTATCTAGTTGTGTTTCAGGGTCTAAGCAAGCCTAGGGGCCTCCTACTACTCCACCATCTTAGCTGTCCCCCATTGATGTTTGTTTTTACCTAAGTCCTAAGTGTTTTGATTCTTTGAGCACAGTCTAGGATAATGTTGCCAGCAACTTCTCAACAGGTGTTATAAAATGATGAGGAAAAAATGTATATATATGTATCCTGAAAGAGGAACTACGAATTCTTTTAAATCTCCAGGTAAGAAAATTAGTGTGTTCATAAGAAAGGGTGTTTATATTACAGTATTATTATTTTAATGGGGTAGTTAATCCACCTTTAGCATTAGTCCAGACAACTGGATGAATTTAGCATTGTGATATCATCTCTACATCTAAATATTCATTAAGTAATAAATATATAACTTCAGGGTTTACTTTTAAAAAATTGCAGAATATCTTGTCTAAAATGTGGGCTTTGCAGAGATGTGTATTTTAGGTCTTTCCCAACGTGACACTGCATTGACAAAAATGATGTGCAAAGATGAAAACTTCTGCAGCAGAAAAAAGAATGGGAACACATCAGTGAACAGAAGATTTTAGTGAATTACTGGAAGGCATAAATTAGTTGGAAGTTTAACAAAAGACACATAGGGCAGTGAGATCTATAGATGAGACATGTACAAGAGAAGTTTACACAGGAAGTCTGAGTTTCTGAGACCCCCAAAGCCTATTCCACACCCACCCAACCTAAAGTAGGACCAGACATTATATATACCACATTCATATACTCATAGATTGATGTCAACCTTTTTATTCAAAGAAAAAGCCAGTTAGGGAAACAGATCTTTATGGTTACAAAAGAAATACACACCAGTTGCTTTTATTGCCAGTACAGTCTTTGGGTCATCATGTTACATGAGCCAGCAAAAATGTAGATAATTTACAGAAAAAAATCAGCACAATGGGAATGTTATATACCAACAAGAATTAAAATACAGACATAGGCAATAATATGGAATCTCTAGTGAAATTTAATAACAATGTCTGGACTCTGAGGTATTCACTCCCTTTCTTTGGACTTGGGGGTTTCCCTCAGGGAAACAAAACATGGCAGTTGACCTCGTCTAATCTTGTGATCCGAAACTCCATACAAATACATAGTAATATTTGTTTTAAATACTTTCCTGTTTGTATCTTTAAACAAACACTTAATTGAAGAGCTTCTCCCTGATGCGTTGTACTCTGTCCCAGGAGCTAATTCTCATGATAAGAAGAATAAGAATAATTCACTTTAGGTGTATGATACTCGTGATTGTCTTGAATGAAATTTAGGAAGGTGAGCCTTCCTGCAGCAGGCACTCCAGGCCTAGTAATCACCCAAGACTCATTACAATATGAAAATGAGTGATGCATTCTCACTTCATTTGAAGTATTTGTACAGTCGGTTTCATTTTGAATTTACATATGTTTTATAAATTATTTAGGAACTCATAGATTTGAGCCACTGTGCAAAACACTGCAAAAGATTAGAAGAGTACTAGGACTTCTACATTGTAATCTAAAGAAGTTATAAGCTAAAAATAAGTATTACACCAGGCCATTTGTGGCCTAAAAAATAAACGAAATATGCATGCCTCAAACAAGTGAGCATTCCTATCCTCTTTGAGGTCATCTGGAAATACATCAAGGAAGCTGTAACATCTAAGATAGATCTTGAAGAAAGGACCTGTTTCAATTCTAAGTGAAAGTGCGTGCAATTGGGGAAGGATTCTCTGTAGAAAGACCTATATGAACAAAAGTGTGTACCCAAGAAGAAAGAGTCCAGAAGGATTTCAGTAACTCATTTCTGCAATAACACAGAATCCATTAGGAGAATTTTAGGAGACTTCAGCATTAAATCAAGGTTTTGGGGGGATGGACTTCAAATAATGCCAAGGAGAACAAGTATATATGTGTACACATATATGCACGTATTAAAGATGTTCATAAAATGACTTTAGGACTAAAGTCATTAACACTAGGGCAATTATAACTGCAAAAAATATTTAAAACTAATCTGCCAGGGAAATATACAATCTATATAATGTGTATATAGATATCTTTGAATGTCATTCATTTTGTACATGTACATATATGAATAAACATATGCATATGCATATATGAAGGTCTAGATATGTATACCATACATAACTATGTGGTAGATATGATAATCCATGAGAAGTTGATGAAGTGGGATATTATTTAGTCAATGTTTTGGAAGTCAGAGAGTATCAACAGGATGTAGAAAAAGTAACAAGTTTACAGAAAATGACAGAAGTGATCAGTTTTAGTGTGAGGGCCTCAGTGAGAACAGTAGAATGGTGTAAGTAATCAGTGGTGAGAGAGGAAGGGCAGAGGTGAACCTGAAACCTGATTATTCATTATGCTTTTTAGTCTCTGTTCACTCAAACACAACTCTGACTCGAATGTGGAATAAATGTAATGTATGTCTTTAGGGTGCATAGCTGTATGGCTGTCAAATATATGATATTCAAATTCTTTTTAGAGAAATTACCCTATTACAATGCTTAATGCATTTATGAAGCTACATTGAAACATGCAAACACGTAAAATATTTTGTTTCCTTTTAATGGCATGAACACTTGATTAGAATTCCCTCTATGTTTTGACTACATATACATATATTTATTTTGTACTCTCACCTTAAGTCATTTAAACATTAGGACAATTATAACTGCGAAAACTGAACACTAATCACTAATCAACACATAGCAAATATGCAATCTGTACCGTTTGTGTCATTTTAATGAAAGGAGAACAGATATTAATGTGAGTTCTAAGAATTTCTCTTTAATATTTTTCTCAATGAATCTATGACTTTCTTATTTCTCAAGCTGTAGATAATTGGATTTAACAAAGGAATTATGATAGTGTAAAATAAGGAGTCCATGATATCTTGATCTTCTGATTGTGTAGATACGGGGCGCACATACGTGAAGACAAGAACACCATAGTATAAGGAGACAGATAAGAGACGGGCTGCACAGGTGGAGAAGGCCTTCTTGATGCCTTGTAAAGACTTCTTTTTTAAGATTGTAAAGAGAACTAGTGTGTAGAAGACAAGAACTATCAGAATGGTGAACATCTGTATTGACCCAGCAAAAATAAATACTATCAGATAATTGATAGAAGGGTTAGTACAAGAAATCTTAAGCAATGGTATAATGTCACAGTAAAAGTGATGTACTGTGATGGAATTGCAGAAGGTTAATCTGAATAAAAATGAACTATGAATTATGGCATGAGGAAGTGACAAAACTAACAAACGGATGCACAGTGTATTGGACATTATCACTGGATAAAGTAATGGTTTGCATATGGCCACATAGCGATCATAAGCCATTGTTGCCAGCACAAAGCATTCCACTGTTATACTTATTGCAAAGGAAAAAAACTGTATCATGCATTCTGAAAGAGATATCATTTTGGCCTTGGCAAAAGAGTTGACTAGCATCTTGGGGGATACTGTGGATGATATCCAAGCATCCACAAATGCCAGACTCCCAAGGAATAAGTACATGGGGATGTGAAGCTGAGGGTCATTCCATATGAGAGCAATTAGGCCAAGGTTCCCCACCATAGTGAGAAGATAGATAACGAACGACACCAGGAACAGGGGGATTTGCCACTGTGGTTCATATGTGAGTCCTTTGAGAATCAAATCTGTCAGCAATGTTGCATTTCCATGTCCTTTTCCATGTTCCTTTTCCATAGCCTGACTTGGTGTTGCCTGAAATGAAATTTAGTACATGGGAAAAAAGTCACTCAATTTATAACATGAAAATATGGGTAGGAGAGTTGAAATAAAAATATGCACCTCAGAATACCCCCTCAATTTTGTGTATTACCTCTGTATTGATTGGAATCTATTTTGAGGGCTTGGAAATAATTGCAATTATTTCAATTTTTAAAATGTGCAGTAATGAACAGCATTGGGAAAATGAAAGACATTGTAATATGTCTTAAATTTATGGGATAGGGTGGGTGTGATATGGAAATTTTATGTTTGGGATGTGGATGTAGGGTGAAGGGAAAAGGAGTTTGAAGGGCCTCAGTAATAAAATGAGTTAAATAGCATGTGAAGGGTCATGAACATTATTCATCAGGCAAAAAGCATGCACTGAAACTTAAGAGAAGGGAGTAGTAGTGGTAGATTTTTTTTTAAATGAATATATAGTAGTGTAGAAAATAGGCTGCAGAGTGTTCGAAATTAGGGTCAGGAATACTAGTCAAAAAGATACTCAAACCAGAACCTATAGTAAAACCTTAAATCTATATTTTGCATAAAATGTTCACTAGATTACACATTGGAATTATCTGGGGGATCTTTTATGAAAAATATAGTTTTGAGGTTTTACTGTAGACATTGATTTAGTGAATCAATTATTAAGGCTAATAATCTGTATTCTACACGATCTCTAACTGACTCAAACACATGTGACATGGCTAATCCATGTGTAAAATGACACTGAGATTGATGGGAAAATGAAGAGATAGATGGAAAAAAGTTCAGAAGGTAGATGCAGTGCCTCTCTGACACACTGAAGGTGAAGGGTTAGTCAGTGAAGAATGGAGGAGTCACTTGGCAACTGGGTAGATTCTCATCAAAAATTGATTGAGAACTCAGATGCAGTGGTCAGTTTGTGGACATCCAGTGCATGTGTACTTTGTAGTTTGCATCTACTACAAATCATGAATTGGAAGTCATTGGGGTAGACTGAAGGCACAGTCTACAGCCACAGATATATGACCTATCTTTTGGAGAATACACAAAGTGAAGAGACTGGTGAATAACTAAACTGACAAAGTATATTAAAAGTACATTAAAGTATATTAAAGTGGAGGGAAAATATATATCATTTTTAGATAGCCAACCTGATCCTCTTCTCTACCACATAATCTTGGTGCCTGGTAAAGTCTACCTCCCACTCTAGGAGCCAAAAGAGCTATAGTTGACTTTCCTATGCCCCTAACAACTAGAGTGAGGTTTGGACTTGATGTAGGTTTGGCAAATCTATATCACTCACACCAGATTTGGAATTTGGAGTGAGGGAGGAAAAGGGAAAAGAACAAAAGAGAATTTGAATTGCTAAGGCAACCAAGGCACAGTATGAAGGTCCAAGCAAATGCATCCTGCACCCACACCAGTGACTCTGTCAGTGTGAACAGTGGCATTCCTACCCAGCAGCAGTGACAGCAGCCCTCAGGGAGCCAATGTTGGAATATAAATTTTTCTATTGGCCGACTGCCATGCTTACTTCTGTTGCTGCCCATTTTTTTCCAGCTGATTCCTTTAATCTCCCAGCATGTCTATGTTAGATTCCATTCCAAAAAATAATTTCTTCTTGAAAGTAATAGTTCTTACTGACAGCGAATAGAGAGACCAGAAAAGGATAGTGAGCAGACTGATCAAGAAGAGAAGGGAAACAGGACAGATGAGTTGTCATGAACACAAAGAGAGGAAGATACTCAAGAAGGAAAAAAAAGAATTATGGTGTCAATTGTTAAAATAAATGCTCTAGTAGGACAAGGAGTGAACAGGTGTGATTGAGCACGGGAACTAAGAGATGTTTAGTTGTTTTAGTGAGAACAATTTCTGTTGTGTGTTGCAGAGGAAGCCAGAGAATAATGAGCAGTGAACGGGAAACAAGTTCCACAACAATGAGGAGGGTAGTGACATTGAATACACCAAGAATGTGGACAACAGTTGCTCTATGTCTACTGTGGGTGCACAAATAGAACACTTTTCCCTGATATTGTTTTAATAAAAGTTTTCAAAAGAGAGAAATGGAAAGGAGGCCATCAAAAGGAGAAAGAAGACAGCAGAGGGAGAAGTTGGGAGGGTGAAGATCATAAGATGCATGAAGAGAAATAGGCAGAGAATAGTAGACACCTGGGTGGATAAGTGTGGGAAAGACAAGCAAAGAAGAAGGATTAAGAATATATCAAGGGTGACTGGGTGGCTCAGTGGGTTAAGAGGCCAACTTTTGAGTTTGGCTCAGGTCATGATCTCAGAGTCCTGGGATTTAGCCACAAATTGGACTATGCACTTCATAGGGAGTCCACTTGAGGATTTTCTCTCTTTCACTCTGCCTTCCTCCCCGCCACTTGTACACACACATTCTCTCTCTAAAATAAAGAATATTTAAAAGAAAAAAGAATGTATCAGAGAAAGACTATTGACAAAAAAAAGGAAAGGTCCAGAGTTTAGGGATTAATATTTATTTTAACCCTGGTTGTCATTCAAAGTTGTCAACATTAGGAATCCTTTTTTTTCCAATTTCCAAATTTATTTTTTATGGAATATGAGTATGCAAGAGATTTTCAGGTTAAATTTTACTTCACAAACTTTGTTCATAAATATATTAGCACTGCCTGAAAGGTTTTTCATATTTAAAAGTTGCTTTACATTTGCTATTACAGTGATTAGGACTGACTTTTTCTAGAAATCCTTATGGTTTTACTTGAGAGAACCTTTTCTCTGCCAGTGTTTTAGCAGAATACAATTGAGCCAGAATGGAGTGGAATACGGGTGATATAAATAACGAAGTCAATAATTTCCATTGGTAAATGTATTTTTATTTGGAAAAGACTCCTTTCTATGCAAAATTCTCAAATTCACTTTGTGAGGGTACTTATTAAGCTATAAATGCTGGAAAGAGCAGTGAAGGAACACTTAATGCCTATTTCCTGCTACATATATATAAATAGTCAAGGAAATTCTTGTCAGAAGTGGGAGGTAGGATAGAGTTAATACACAAGTGACTTACCGTTAAAGTTTGAATCAGAAAATGTGATCAGTTAAACATAATGGAGCTTTTAATCAGAATAACCAGAAAGATTTCTTACTTAAGAATCATTATTAAATGATTTTTAAATGTAATTTAAATTATTTAACACTCTAGTTCATGAATACTTATTAAGGCATTATAGATATGTTAAGAAATAATAAAATATTGTTAAAGGGAGTAATTCAGTCTTACAGCTATTTTGCTTTACTAGATGATAGTCATTAACATTTAATATGTAAATTATTCACTATGTGTTTTCTATTACTCATCTTGCTTTTTGGCTCTTAAAAACCCAATGTAAAATTATAATAAATATAATAGTATGTCAACTTTAAGCATAAAGAATAATGAATTTTATAGTAATCATTTCTTTCTTACCCATATCTTATAAGAAATTGAGGAAATTCTTTTGAAGACTTAGCTTTTCTAAAGTAGATAAGGAATACAGTAGCACAGAGATGACCATAACATGGGTAGCAACTCCTTGCACACTGATTCACTTTGGAGGCTTCATTTAATAAGCTCAGGAAAATGTTATTTATATCAGTTGTTTCAAGCACAAGAGTCAACCAGTTGTACAACTGTGGGCTTTTTGCCAGAAGAGGAAGGAATGAAGAACTAAAATTCTCCCAATAGCACCCAAGGCTTCCCTTTAGGACAAAACTAAATTGTTCTTCTGGGCATTGTAAACTTGAACATGTGTGAAAAATCTAGGTTATTTCATAGGGCATTACAGACTTTGAAATCATAAACATCAAGTCATCATAGATATTGTATCTTATGCCCCTGTTTTCCACTATTAATGATACCTCTGACATATTTATGCAAATTTCAATGTATAAATTTTTATGTTCTGACTACTTTGATTAGTATGATCTTATCTGAGCTAATCATACATGATTTTAATGAGGCCAAAGTTCTGCATTCCCTTCAGGAGCCAATCCCAAGTCCTCCTCATGCAAAGTGCAGCTCACATTCCAGACCTACACTGAAATTCTTACTTTAATTTTTAACCAGGTGAGAAATCTTACTTCGCAGAGGTCAAGGGAAGATGAAAGGGAAAACAAAACAAAGGACCATAGTGGGAGGTGGCGTATATCAATGCTTCTCAGACATTAGTGCCTGGGAATCTCCTGGAGATTTTCTTAAAATGCAGATTCTCCTTTGATAAGTCAGGGAGCATGTCCGAGAGTCTTCACATCAAGCAAGGGGATGCCCTGGACATTTGCCACTTTTAGGGCTTTCCATCCTTGGAGGGTCTAAATGATCTCAGAGCTAGATCATTGGAGAAACAAACAAGGAAAAGTAAATGTAGCTGGCCTGCAAAAAGAAGCAAGATGGAGCCAGATGGGACAAGAAAGACCAACATGGTTGGGCTCACAGGGGGTCTGGAGGCGAGGTCAGGCATTTTGTTCTTTACCCCACTTTTAAGGACAACTAGTGAGATATTTTGAACATGGTGGTAAGGTGTTCATAATTACTTTTCAGCATGAAGAGAGAAGTGACATGAATGTTCATTCAGAAAATAATGACATTATTTATATCAAAATAGTACAATGTAGAAAAAGTAACATTTTTGATTTGGTATCTGAAGAAGAGGAAAAATGCTTAAACTCTCCATGGGACTTGATGGCAGCTAGGGCAAAACAAAATGTCTATATTTTGATGGAGTCATTAATCAGTTATCCTGTGTCCTTAGACTTTGTTTGTGAAAGCTAAAGAAGAGGGGGAAATAAACTATGTAGATAAAAGAGAAGCCCTGTGAAAACTCAGTAGAAAGGTGGGTAAGCAGGGTGTGCACTGGTAATCTGAACATAATCCAAACTTGAGTTAAATTTAATTCTTCTTTCAATTTTGTGTATTTATCTCTCACTTCATTTTGTGGTCCATCTATAGGTACAAAAGTCTGCATTGCTGCTTCCAATATGAGTGGTATTCTCAATTTTAGTTATTTTAAAGTGTGGGTCAAAGTATCTCACTATAATCATCATTTGCATTTCCCAAATGATGAATTATATTGAATATATTTTTGTGTCTCCATTTGACATCTGTATGTCTTGTTTACTGAAGTGTCTATTCAATTCAAACATTTTCTCTTTTTTATTTTTATTTTTTTAAAAAGATTTTATTTATTTATTTGACAGAGAGAGAGAGATAGCGAGAGCAAGAACACAAGCAGGGGGGAGTGGGAGAGGGAGAAGCAGGCTTCCTGCTGAGCAGGGAGCCCGATGTGGGACTTGATCCCAGGACGCTGGGATCATGACCTGAGCCAAAGGCAGATGCTTAACGACTGAGCCACCCAGGCGCCCTAAACATTTTTCTTTTTTAAATTGAGTATATATTTCTTATTTTTCATCTTTGAGATTCTTCTTATTCTGGATACAAAGTTCTTATCAGATGCATGATTTGCAAATATTGACTCAAGGACCTTGATCTTCTTTTCCTGCCACTGGATATCATGCTTATTCCTTATGTAGCAACTACTACAGACCTATTGGTAGACCCATTTGTGTACCAGAAGTTGAGAAATGAATTCAACAAAATTCAGGGCCCATTTATCTAGGTGAAATTTCTAGTGGTCTAGTGGTGGGTCATGTGGAGACAACTCTTCTAAGGTAAGGGAGAACTTGTTGCATCTGGCCCTCCTACAGACAAAAGAGAGGTACAACACCTATTGGGACCCTGTGGATTTTGGAGGCAATGTCATCTTCGTTTGGGTGTCTTATTCCAACCCATTTACCAAGTGTCCAGAAAAGCTATTAGTTTTAAGTGTGACTCTGAACAAGAGAAGGATTTACAAAGGTGTAGGCAGCTGTGCAAGCTGCTCTACTACTAGGGTCACATGATCCACCAAAACTAATGGTAGTTAAAGGCATAGTGGGAGATTAGGATGCTTTTTGGAGACTTAGGCAGGTCTCTGTAGGTAAATCACAGCACAGGCCCTTAGGTTTAGAGCTAAGCCATGCTATCACTGCAGACAATTACTTTCCATTTGAAAACAAGAAGGATGGAACTAGAAGGAACTAAAACTAGAAAGATCGAATTGTCATTACCTGAGATGAGTAAGATGGCTTGGGGAGTAGGTTTGGCAGAGAAAATTAAAGTTCCTATTTATTTAAGTCTTTGTCTTCTCCTCCTTCCTAATCTTCTTGCATATCTATTCTCATTCCTTTTATTGCTCCTACTTTTTTTTTCCCTTCCTTGTGCCCATGTCTTAAGCCTACTGCTGAGAACCATTGGCATCCACTGGGCATCAGTGAATCCTGTGTGTCACCCAAGGCCAAAGAAGGGATTTTTTAAAAATATTTATAATTAAAACAACAAGCAGTCATTATTATTTGTGTTCCAGAGTCATTTGATGTGGTTACAGAATGCATGAGTTTCATGCTAAATGAGCAGTTCATGGAGAAATTTGTTGATCCTGGAAACCACAATAGTGGGATTGGTCTACTTCAGACCTGTGAGTACATTGATCTCAGCCGTACAGTTGGGGGAAAAAGGAAATAAATTTGCCATTCGTTGATTTCTGTTATGGGAACTAGATGAGTCAGTACATTGCATCAACTTCGAGTAAGATCTCTAATGGTATCCCAGTGAACTCTGTTCTGTTGATAACATATTTAATGTTAGATACATACTTACCAAATTGCAAATATGAAGTTGAGAGATGCAGTGAATACATTGGATGACAGAATCTAGACCTCCCCAAAAGATGTTATTAGTGGGCCCTTTTAAAGAGTAAATTTAATAGGGATAAATAATATATTCCTGTTTGAGATAAGCATTTCAGTTACCTGAGTTAAGATAGGGTTATGTGAAAAAAGTTGACTACAAGCTATTTATGAGTCAAGGGTCAGGACTACCAAAAATGTTGATCTAGCCTTATGTGGTAGTAACAAAAGTATAGATGTCAAAAACAAATGAAAGTATTTCTTAGGAGCATTCTGTTCTTTGATGGTCAGACTACCTAGGAAATACTGTCTTCAGATTTGCACCTGATATTCAGGCCAGAGAGACACTGGAGCTTGCTCATAAAATGACCATATCTTGAGAGGAAGCACTGGAAAAATGGCAAGTAGAGTAGATCCTTGAATAACATAGGGTTAGGAGCACGAGCCTTTCACGCAGTCAAAAATCCACGTATAACTTTTGACTCCACCAAAACATGACTACTAACAGCCTACAGTTGATCAGAAGCCTTACCAATTACATAAAACCGTCAATTGAGACATATTTTATATGTTATATGTATTATATGCTGTATTCTTACATAAAGTAAGAGAAAAAAAATGTTACTAAGAAAATCATAAGGAAGAGAAAACATATATATAGTACTGCTCTATTAAAAATCTGCATGTATGTCAGCCTGCACAGTTAAACCTGTGTTATTCAAGGTATTCAATTTTGTATTGCAAATATATAGAAAGAAGTTTATTACTAACAGAGTTTGAAGGGAAGTTGGAGAAAAGACTTTTATGTAGTTCCAAAAAGTAAAACTAGCACTAGAGGGTAGAATTTGGTTTAGAGTTGATATTAATACATTACTAATAATTAAAATAATGTAAAAATGGAAGGGGATGCTTTGTAAAGTCATCAGGTTTCTTTCCATGGTGTTGAGGGAATTTATGATAACTACAGATGCCATTTATTGAGTGCAGAGATCCTCTGCTTTGTGCTTTATGTATATTCTTTCAACAGGTCTTTTATAATCAACATTCATTTACTCCTTATTCTTGCCTTGAGATCCTATAAGGATGTAGATTCATTTGTATGTAGAACCAGAAGGTTTTGCTTCAAATGCTGGCTCTACCACATACTGTGTTACCTTGTACAAGTTATTTATACATCTTGCCTCAGTTCCCTCATTTATAAAATGGAGATAATAATAGTACCTCCTTCATAGGGATTTTGGAAGATTAATACACAAAGCATGTGTAGAACAGTGCCTGACACACAGTGAGCCCTCAGTAATTGTTAACTGTTAGTGTCCTTTTACTTTTATCAGGTAGCATCCTTTTGAACAAAGTGCTTTAGGAAAGAAGCCCCAATATTAAAGTATTCCTTTCTCACTTTTTTAAAAAAGATTTTAAAATTTTTTTTAGAGAGAGAGAAAGGGAGAGAGATAGCATGAGTGGGGGGTGGGGCAGAGGGAGAAAGAGAGAGAATCTTAAGCAGAATCCCCACTGAGTGTGGAGCCCAGCACGGGGCTTGATCTCTGGACCCTGAAATCACCACCTGAGCAGAAACCAAGAGTGGATGCTCAACTGACTGTGCCATCCAGGAGCCCCTCCTGTCTCACTTTTTGAGAAAAGATCTAATTAGTACATGAATGAAATTGCCATTGTGAAAAAACTGTCTGAAATCCTGGTAACATATTATTTTTTCTCTTTTTCAAAATCTGAACTTTGGCATGGCCAGTTCCTTTTACCTTTTGTTAGTCTAGGTTTGATGTGCTTTGGGGCTGTGATTGGACTTTGTGCTTGCATTTGCCGGAGTTTGTATCCCACCATTGCCACAGGCATTGTCCAGTGAGTCTTGTCATTACACTTACCTTTTATCTTCTTCCTGTTTCCATAGAGACAGTGAGTCATAATTCTTAAACATCCACACATTGTTGCCCTGTCCTGTTGCCCTAAAATCTCTTACTATGCTCTTATTTAGTTATGTTTTGTTTTCCTCCAAGGTCTCTGTACCCTGGGCTCAGTGAATTGTTATGTTGCTGGAATTGAGTTACTCCACCAGAAGCTAGAGCTGCCTGAGAACGTGTCTGGTGAATTTGGATGGTCCTTCTGCCTGGCTTGCGTCTCAGCTCCCTTACAGTTCATGGCTTCTGCTCTCTTCATCTGGGCTACTCATACCAACTGGAAAGAGTACACCTTAATGAAGGCATATCGTGTGGCATGAGTGGGAAGCTGCCTGCTTGGCAATTGCCATTTTTATTATTTTTCAATATTAATATTTCCCCTTGTCTCCCCTCATTGTTTTTTTTTTTATTATGTTAGTCACTATACATTACATCATTAGTTTTTGATGTAGTGTTCCATGATTCATTGTTTGCGTGTAACACCCAGTGCTCCATGCAATACGTGCCCTTCTTAATACCCGTCACTGGGCTAATCCATCCCCCAACCACTCTCCCATCTAAAACCCTCAGTGTGTTCTTCAGAGTCCATAGTCTCTCATGGTTCATCTCCCCCTCCGATTTTACAGTTTTACACAATTCACAATGCTCACTATAGCAAATACCCTCCCCAGTGTCTATCACCCAGCTGCCCCATCCCTCCCAACCCCCAACACTCCAGCAACCCTCAGTTTGTCTCCTGAGATTAAGAGTCTCTTATGGTTTGTCTTCCTCTCTGGATTCATCTTGTTTCATTTTTTCCTCCCATGCCCTATGCTCCTCTGTCTTCTTTCTCAAATTCCTGATATTAGTGAGATCATATGATACTTGTCTGTCTCTGATTGACTTATTTGGCTTAGCATAACACCCTCTAGTTCCATCCACATCATTGCAAATGGCAAGATTTCGGGCTTTTTTGATGGCTACATAATATTCCATTGTATATATATACCACATCTGCTTTATCCATTCATCTGTCCATGGACATCTTGGCTCTTTCCACAGTTTGGCTATTGTGGACATTGCTGCTATAAAAATTGGGGTGCATGTACCCCTTCGGATCACTATATTTGTATCTTTGGGGTAAATACCCAGTAGGCAATTGCTGGGTCATAAGGTAGCTCTATTTTCAACTTTTTGAGGGACCTCCATACTGTTTCCCAGAGTGCCTGCACCAGCTTGCATTCCAACCAACAGTGTAGGAGGTTCCCCTTTCTCCACATCCTCTCCAACATCTGTCATTTCATGACTTGTTCATTTTAGCCATTCTGACTGGTGTGAGGTGGTATCTCATTGAGGTTTTGATTTGGATTTCCCTGATGCCGAG